CTTCAATATATGATAAAAATTCGCGTAAAAAAATGTTCTTCCACTATTAAGAAATATCCCTTTTTATTAAAAAACAACTGGATATAATGATTTTTATGTATACGTGGTTACAATTGAGTATATTTTTAAAAAATAAAATACATGCGCTTTTATCATTGCTTGGTTAAATATGTGAGTACAAATAAGTTTAGGGTACCAAGTGTGCTCGAGACAAATTAAACCCGATAACAGCAAGATTAAAAAAAAATTCAATTCAAATATTTAACAACATCAAATGAAAAATTACCAATCAATTAATTATTTTATAACATTTCAATTAAAATATCAATAAATTAATTTGCCAATATCTTACTGATATCGGAGTACCCATTTAATTTGTCTCGAATTTTTTAATTACTCACATATTTTACGTTACATACATTACATGCATTCGCGCGATATAATATTAAATATAATATAAAAAAGACTTTTGTTAAATATATCATATAATTTGCGCATGTATTTTATTATATGTACTTGTTTATAAACTAATCCTAATATTCTAAAATGGTGGGACGTCCAAGTGGAATCGATCCACAAAGGAAAGTTAAGTGATTCATTAAACGTCAGAAATTCCGCTACAGGAGGGAACGAATCCCCGATCTTCCTGATTGCTCCCGATAGCAGTGATTTCGGCAGCGAATTAACGATTGTTACCATCGTCATCATCTTCAATATATGAGATAAAAATTCGCGTAAAAAAAAACATGTTCTTCCATTATTAAGGAATATCCTTTTGCGAATGTACACGATGAATAAATAAATTGACGGTAATTGTAATATGTTGCGACAATAAAAATGTTTCGATATTTGGAGCGCAATTCATAATTTGTAATTATAATGTGCTTAAGAAATCGAACGCACATTATAATAAAATCTATATAGAATTTAATAGCCGATTTATTTTCAAATGCGCGATTTTATACGAATTCCGTGATTAAATATATTGTTTATAAACTAATCCTAATATTCTAAAATGGTGGGACGTCCAAGGCCTGCAAATGGTTTCTTAAAAGAGACCAAAAATTAAATTAATTAATAAAATATATTCGTTTGTAA